ATACGGTACGATGGGCCCTCCAGTACGAACTGCGCATGTGGTACCGCATAAGGCTCGCGCACGCGCAGTTCGTAGCGGAGAGCCCATCGTACCGTATCGAATGTGCAAAACCGGTTCCATAAAACTCTCTATTAGGGAGTTTTAGGGAGCCTGTTTTGCACATTCGATACGGTACGATGGGCCCTCCAGTACGAACTGCGCATGTGGTACCGCATAAGGCTCGCGCACGCGCAGTTCGTAGCGGAGAGCCCATCGTACCGTATCGAATGTGCAAAACCGGTTCCATAAAACTCTCTATTAGGGAGTTTTAGGGAGCCTGTTTTGCACATTCGATACGGTACGATGGGCCCTCCAGTACGAACTGCGCATGTGGTACCGCATAAGGCTCGCGCACGCGCAGTTCGTAGCGGAGAGCCCATCGTACCGTATCGAATGTGCAAAACCGGTTCCATAAAACTCTCTATTAGGGAGTTTTAGGGAGCCTGTTTTGCACATTCGATACGGTACGATGGGCCCTCCAGTACGAACTGCGCATGTGGTACCGCATAAGGCTCGCGCACGCGCAGTTCGTAGCGGAGAGCCCATCGTACCGTATCGAATGTGCAAAACCGGTTCCATAAAACCCTCTATTAGGGAGTTTTAGGGAGCCTGTTTTGCACATTCGATACGGTACGATGGGCCCTCCAGTACGAACTGCGCATGTGGTACCGCATAAGGCTCGCGCACGCGCAGTTCGTAGCGGAGAGCCCATCGTACCGTATCGAATGTGCAAAACCGGTTCCATAAAACTCTCTATTAGGGAGTTTTAGGGAGCCTGTTTTGCACATTCGATACGGTACGATGGGCCCTCCAGTACGAACTGCGCATGTGGTACCGCATAAGGCTCGCGCACGCGCAGTTCGTAGCGGAGAGCCCATCGTACCGTATCGAATGTGCAAAACCGGTTCCATAAAACTCTCTATTAGGGAGTTTTAGGGAGCCTGTTTTGCACATTCGATACGGTACGATGGGCCCCCCAGTACGAACTGCGCATGTGGTACCGCATAAGGCTCGCGCACGCGCAGTTCGTAGCGGAGAGCCCATCGTACCGTATCGAATGTGCAAAACCGGTTCCATAAAACTCTCTATTAGGGAGTTTTAGGGAGCCTGTTTTGCACATTCGATACGGTACGATGGTCCCTCCAGTACGAACTGCGCATGTGGTACCGCATAAGGCTCGCGCACGCGCAGTTCGTAGCGGAGAGCCCATCGTACCGTATCGAATGTGCAAAACCGGTTCCATAAAACTCTCTATTAGGGAGTTTTAGGGAGCCTGTTTTGCACATTCGATACGATACGATGGGCCCTCCAGTACGAACTGCGCATGTGGTACCGCATAAGACTCGCGCAAGCGCAGTTCGTAGCGGAGATCCCATCGTACCGTATCGAATGTGCAAAACCGGTTCCATGAAACTCTCTATTAGGGAGTTTTAGGGAGCCTGTTTTGCACATTCGATACGATACGATGGGCCCTCCAGTACGAACTGCGCATGTGGTACCGCATAAGACTCGCGCAAGCGCAGTTCGTAGCGGAGAGCCCATCGTACCGTATCGAATGTGCAAAACCGGTTTCATAAAATTCTCTATTAGGGAGTTTTAGGGAGCCTGTTTTGCACATTCGATACGATACGATGGGCCCTCCAGTACGAACTGCGCATGTGGTACCGCATAAGACTCGCGCAATCGCAGTTCGTAGCGGAGAGCCCATCGTACCGTATCGAATGTGCAAAACCGGTTTCATAAAATTCTCTATTAGGGAGTTTTAGGGAGCCTGTTTTGCACATTTTATACGATACGATGGGCCCTCCAGTACGAACTGCGCATGTGGTACCGCATAAGACTCGCGCAAGCGCAGTTCGTAGCGGAGAGCCCATCGTACCATAACGAATGTGCAAAACCGGTTCCATAAAACTCTCTATTAGGGAGTTTTAGGGAGCCTGTTTTGCACATTCGATACGGTACGATGGGCCTTCCAGTACCAACTGCGCATGTGGTACCGCATAAGATTCGCGCACGCGCAGTTCGTAGCGGAGAGCCCATAGTACCGTATCGAATGTGCAAAACCGGTTCCATAAAACTCTCTATTAGGGAGTTTTAGGGAGACTGTTTTGCACATTCGATACGATACGATGGGCCCTCCAGTACGAACTGCGCATGTGGTACCGCATAAGACTCGCGCAAGCGCAGTTCGTAGCGGAGAGCCCATCGTACCATAACGAATGTGCAAAACCGGTTCCATAAAACTCTCTATTAGGGAGTTTTAGGGAGCCTGTTTTGCACATTCGATACGGTACGATGGGCCTTCCAGTACCAACTGCGCATGTGGTACAGCATAAGATTCGCGCACGCGCAGTTCGTAGCGGAGAGCCCATAGTACCGTATCGAATGTGCAAAACCGGTTCCATAAAACTCTCTATTAGGGAGTTTTAGGGAGCCTGTTTTGCACATTCGATACGATACGATGGGCCCTCCAGTACGAACTGCGCATGTGGTACCGCATAAGACTCGCGCAAGCGCAGTTCGTAGCGGAGAGCCCATCGTACCATAACGAATGTGCAAAACCGGTTCCATAAAACTCTCTATTAGGGAGTTTTAGGGAGCCTGTTTTGCACATTCGATACGGTACGATGGGCCTTCCAGTACGAACTGCGCATGTGGTACCGCATAAGATTCGCGCACGCGCAGTTCGTAGCGGAGAGCCCATAGTACCGTATCGAATGTGCAAAACCGGTTCCATAAAACTCTCTATTAGGGAGTTTTAGGGAGACTGTTTTGCACATTCGATACGGTACGATGGGCCCTCCAGTACGAACTGCACGTGTGGTACCGCATAAAACTCGCGCACGCGCAATTTGCATCGGAGAGCCCATCGTACCTTATCCGATGTGCAAAAAAGGTTCCCTAAAACTCTGTATTAAGCTCGACCGCAGCGGCAAAAAGGTGCAATGGTCGGGGCGCGATCGCCGTCTTTTTGTGTGTATACTGCCACCAACCAAACTAACGATGCACGAAAAAAAAGAGAAGAAAATCCAGAATCACGTGCCGTATTTACTGGCTGTGATTGGTTTAGCCGGGGATATAGCAAACGCACAAAGACGACGGACACAGTGACGATGCACTTTTCGACGCTGCTTGGTTGACTCAATCTGCCGGATCGCAGCGTTGGCAACGGTCGGACTCGATGTGAAAAGGATAAAAACAGTATGTGGCTGGGGTGGCTCGTAACCTTCGCTGCGGTCCATCGTAAGCTGAAACGAAGTATGGCCGGAGTAAAAACGGTCCAGTTAAATAGCCAGTGTCCTCGCGGCTGAAGTGCCCCCCGCCTCGAGCACAGGGATGAAGAAAACAAAGGGGCGTCAACGCGCGAACACCTGCCCCGGGCTGGAACTCCCCGAGGAAATCTCCGGAGATTAATATTCTTTATCTTCGTTCTGAAGCTCTCTCTTTCTTTTTTTCTTTTTTTTCCCCGACTTTTACCCGAGTGAGTTTTGTACAACCCAGTATCTATTCTTTTTTCCGTGTGCAGACAGGACAAGTAAAACTAGAGAACTGCGTTCGTATATAGGTATACATATAAACAGAGAATGAAAAGTATACATAAAGTCAGAGAAAATGTCGACCGGTCTCTATGACAACCCACTTTTTTAACTTGCGCGTTGCGACCGTTTCGCTGCGAGACATAACAAAAAAAAATAAGAAAAAAACACTTCGTTGCCTGAAAACGTGCGCTGGACACGGCAAAGAAAATGAAGAGTGGATGAAAGAGTGAGCGCTCTAAAAAATATAAAATAAAGCGAAGCATGAACGATATAAATTGTATATAAAACAAGAAAATGTGGTCAGATCATTCTGTACTATTCCCTTGAACCATTCTCGTAGCCTTTCCTGCGTCAAATCAACCCACGCACGCTCGCGTAAATCCACAAACAACTCATTTAGGAGAGCGAGAAGCAAAAACTTCTCTCACACATACCCGTGAAAGAGAGGCATTGAAAGAGAGCACCCCCCACAGCCGTCCTATTTATTTTGGTGGGCTCCAACCGCGAACGACGTGCCGAATACCCCTAGCGGGTCTATGGACCAGGTAGACGTTGGTCCCCGCTCTTTCTCCCTAGAGACGAGCTCGAAACAAAAGAGGCGCACACAAAATTGAATAGAATTATCGAGGGCGAAACAAGGCCGCCGTTCAAAATGGATCATCGCCGGTCACCGGGCGAACACGAACCCCCCTCCCCTCCCCCACCCACCCTTCCCTCAGCGCGTCCCTCCCACCCCCCAACTTCCCCGATCTCCCCAAAAAAGCCGGGACCTCACTCCGTTTTCAATCTAGGGAGGTGCCTTGTCGGGGACGCGAGCGCTCTGCAGGACAGACGGTTCCACCCCAGCCACCTTTCTTCCTTCGACGGTCCAAGGCGGCAAGAAGGTAACGAGTGAGAAAAAAAGAAGCCCAAAAGCAGCGGACACCGTCGCATCTGAGCAAGCTAAAAAGAAATCTCTCGGAAGAAGAGAAAGAGATTAAGGAAAAGGGAGGAAGAAAAGGAAAGCCGATGAAAGCAAGAAGAAAAGGGAAGAAGAAAGGAAACAGAAGATAAAAGGGAAGGCAAAAAGAGAGGAAAAGAACTCCGCGACTGCGTGTCTTCCCAGTTGTCTTCGTTGGGAGAGGAGAAGAAAAAAGGGGAGGCTTGCGACCGGCGACATGCGTGATCCCTAATGACGCATGAATAAAGGAAGCGGCCGAGGGGCGTCGGCCTGTTCGAACCCGCGCGCTGGCTGCATCGCGGCGCGGCGACGCGCGGCCGGCAGTGCTGGCCGTGGCGCCGCTCGAAGCCAAGCCCCGCAACTCGGTGTCCGGACCAGCGGCGTCGGCGGCGAGGAAGAAGCGGTTGGCGGCAGCGGTGAGGGTCACCGCGCTCGCGATCAACGCCGAGAGGAAGCGATCCACGGCTGCGGTGAGGCCCGAGATGCTGGGCAGCGCCGCCACGCTCGTAGGGACCGGGCCCGCGCCACCCACCGGAGGAGGAGGCATCGTGGTCGTTGACGCGGCGGGGGCTAGAAGACCCGGCGCTGGGGGCGTTGGACCTTCAGGGACGATGCGGGGAGGCGACAGGGACCCCAACGTGCTCAGCGAGTATCTACAGGTGAGTGCTCGTGGGAGGGGCCTCAGTAAACCCGTCTGATTTCAATCAATCAATACTTGTATTACAGTAAATGCACGTTACAAGTTAATGGAAGTCCATCTGGGTCTGTGGTCAATTTTGGTAGTTTGGGTTTAGTGTAGGTTAACGTTGACGGGTATGGTTTTTGCAAAGTAAGGGTGAGCTACTGGACTATCTTCCGTTGTTTCAGCTAGATGGGTTTTGTTACGAACCTCAAACTTTTTTTGCGGTTCAGACATGTGAAATATTCGCCAATGAACGGAACGCTGCGCATAAAGAACAATACAGCGCAAAAGAGAAGGATAAAAGAGGAACATACACGACAGGACAAATGCTGGCTCGCAATTATTAGAATGTTACATTTAGAAAAAAAAAAAGGAACAAAGCACGCAACGCACAGATTCACACGCATGTTCCATCCATGACAGCTAGATATATAGATCGATAGGAAAAACAAGTAATTACGAACGAGCGAGCGCTTGTCCTTTCGTAGGTTCCTCTTTTGCCCAAGTCTTTTACGCTTCTTTGGGTCACTATGTATAACGACTATCAAGTAGCTCAGTTTTGAACTTTATTGAAGGAACGCTAGACTAAGAGCTTTTTTGGTGGCTACTCCGAGACTTGAAAAACGGAATCCTACTTTAAAAGGTTTGAAGATGTATTCTCGAAAGTAATTCGGTGGTGACATTTTTGAAAAGACAACTGATAGTTATTGTGTATACATGTTTAATGGGTCAAGATCTTCGTTTTCAAAGTACGATTGAGGGTTTCAAGTCTTGCGATTACTCATTCAAAATGTTTCTGTTATGCGTTTGTAACTGTTGCATTTAATTGAAAAATTCATCTATTAAACACTCAGCTATTATTGCATTGATGCAGTTTCGTTACATTACCTTGTAATACATGCACAGGAAACACTATTATTTTGTTCTCTCTCTGTAGTTAAGGTGTCTCCTTGCGACAAGTATACATTTAGATTCCGAAGATATTGAACTAATAATCCTTATTAACAAAGTAATGTAATATATAATTTTAATAAATATTCCCCCAAAGCCATTACAGGTTGTTTTAATTAGATCACGCATTTCTAGGTCATCTTTATCAGCGATATTCGCAGAAGATTTTGGGAAGACTAAAATTGCCAAGTTTGCTTCTGAATGCTAAAAATATTTTGCTACCTCTGATACACCTTCATTGATGCCTCAAAACAATATTGCCTTAACTAATCTCGATCAAATTTCCTTTAACATTACAAAGGGCAGGAAACGTTGATCTGTTCCTTTGCATGCTAATAAATTCTTTCCAAAATTAACCACTTCTAGGTGTTTTATAAGGAACACGTGAAAGTAAATATGCTATTTAGTGCTCCTACGTACGGAAGCAAAAGACCTCATTCTTGAACTTTTCGAAGTGATACTACTCACAGTTTAGGTCCTCCGAAGGTCAAAATTGTTCAGAAATCTTATTTTCGTGTTTTTTCTTTATAAAAACACGCTTTTACAAGCCAATGATTAGATTATAGGCTCGTCGTCTTCGCCGTACGTAATTTATGCCCGGCAAAAAAAACAATGAATTTTTTGTTGGTTGTAATTAGTTAATAATAATAATCATAATAATGCTTTATTCTGCACGAAAAAATACAGATGCAGGAGGCCTGCAGAAAAATCTGTGAAATAAACTGCTTGACAAAGCCGAAGGCCCCCATACTGGCGGCGTCGGGGCAAAGATAAGATAATAAACTGTAGAAATAAAAGTGGAAACATAGTGAAGAATCTTTTTACACAAAAATATAAAAATACAGAAAATATAATAAACCATACATATTAGGAATACAAATAAAAATGGACACACAATGATGAATCTTTTTACACAAAAATATAAAAATACAGAAAATATAATAAACGATACATATTAGGAATACAAATAAAAATGGACACACAATGATGAATCTGTTTACACACAAAATGTAATAAACTGTACACCATAGAAATACAATTATCATATAGTGACAAGTCGTTTGATTCACACACACAAAAAAAAGATCAACAAAAAATTAAACAATAGAAGTTCTTGGAAACAAATTATAACCCCCCCTCTCTTTTTTTTTTTTTTTGCAGTATAAGAGTTTGAAGCATTCTGAAAAAAGTTACGCAGTTCTTTAAAATAAATATCTTCTGGCTGAATATTTTTATCATGTAATTTATTTAATAATCTTGGTAATTTTATTTGTATCATTTCTAAGCCGTATCTTTTTCTACAAGTGTCTATTTTCCAAGGCTCATTTTTTCGTGTGTTGTGTACATGTGGTTTTAGTTTTGCCAAGTTTCTTAAAATGCAAATGTTATTTCTTGCTTCTTGTTTACATTGCTTACAGAGGCGGAAATCATACATTTTTGTTATAGGCATTACATTTTATTTTGTAAATTGCGATTTTTGTGTGATAATGATTGGGCACCTTTTATACCATTTTCATAAACCTTTTTTCATCATCATCATCATCATCATCATTTATTATCCTTGAAGGCCCTTACGGGCATTACACAAGGGAGTGGTACATTTGTTATTATTTTCCTTAATCGAACACTTCCGCACACAATTTTAACACAGTAGAAGAGGGAACTAGTCGGATAATGAAGAGATAAAAGTGGTTACAGAGGCGGCAAATTTATGTGTGTCAGTTATGGTAACAATGTCATTTGGTAGTATGTTCCAATCGTTTATTGCCAAAGGTAAAGTTGAATTACTGTATGAAGTAGTTGACGAAAAAATGGGCCGCAACTTGCAGGAGTGGTCAAAGCGGGGGAAAATCTGCCACGGGGGTAAAAGCAGAGATTCACGAAGAGGCATGTTATAGTGAAAGATTCGGTGAAGGAGAGAGAGACGGGACACTCGGCGCCTCAATGAAAGCGTGTGAAGGTTAGCTGCTTCGCGCAATCCAGATATGCTCGTGAATGGTGAGTAATCAGAAAAAATAAAACGAAGAGCCCTATTTTGGATGGATTCAAGTTTGTTAGATAGGTAAGATTGCCAAGGGCACCACACAGAATATATAATATGTATTTTCAGCAGATTTTCTTGTGTGGACGAAGCTCAGACTAAATGACAGTAGTTGAGTCTTGAAGAAAATAGTGAACTATATATTAGGATCATTTCATAATGTTACGTGGGAGTATATACCTATTCCGATAAGTCACGCCAAGGATCTGCGACAGTTTAGTCATCACTGAATTTATATGATTATCCCAAGACAATGTTTCCTAAAATATGACGCCTAATGTCACATAATTAGTTGTACAAGCAACTAATTATGACGGAAAATTACTATCACCCCACTGTCGGCGTAACATTAATAAACTGCAGCTTGAACCTGGCATCGCGTAGAGAACTTTCTCGTTTGTGTTTATTTCACAAAATCTATCATAGTACTCATTTTATTCACAAGCTATTAAGCCCTCCCTTCTACATAGAATCATCGCGTCTTGATCAACAACACAAGATAGGCATACCATCGTGTAAAACTACAACTTTAAAAATTCATTTATACCCTGAAATACGCTCTCTTGGATCCACCTTCCGGCGTCGGTGGTAACTTTATTTGAAAGCGTCGCTTTTAAATCTGCCTTGACTATGCTAATATTGTAGAAACTTATTAACATAAATGTGTTTGCATTCTTAGGTTTTGTTGTTTAGTTTCTTTTATCTATACCTGTAACGGCCACTTCCCTCTGCAACTCCCCCGTGACCTAATTTGAGGGTATTTGAAATTTATTTATTTATTTATTTAAAACAAGAAACGCGCATCCTTCGTTTTGGAATTCTACACTCAACAAACTTACAAAAAATACGATTTAGCCTTAAAATACAGACAAACAGCAATGCGTCAGTGTGGTGATCATTTTTCTTAATTTCATTTGTTTTGCTGACTTAGACGAAAGGGAACTATTTATTTTAAAATACTATCAGTTCCTTATATTTTAGGGGAGGGCATATATTTTTTCTGGGAATATACAGAATAGGAAAACAACATAGATATGGAGCCAGAATAATACAAAAATGCGAATCATTATTACAAAAAATGCCAAGCGGTTTTCTCTTCAAAATATGGTAAAACTTCTTGTTTGTTATTATTGCTGTTGTTGTTGGTCTTTTTACGTTATTTCCCTGTTTTGTGTGTTTATTTGTATTTTATGCTATGCATGCACAAGCGCTTGAAAACAAAAACAACTCAACACAAAATAGCGTGCACTCGAGGTACGACTCTTCGTCGCAATCCGCCCTCCCGCACAAATAGCCGTTTTTGTTTTTTGATTTACGTCTGGTGACTCTCCGTGTTTTCACAAAGCAAAGACAACAAAAAGACGTCAAGCGCCTTTGTTCGCCCTCCTTCCGTCTGCTCGTTCTCTGATTTCAAGAGTCGATCTAAATCGACAAATCGACCAGGTCGTTCGGCGTCAAGGATGCCCGTACCAAAAGCGGCATGCCCCAGTTTTGTTCTGGACAAAAGCATACCCGCGAAAGGGGAGGCCGTGGGTGCACGGCGTCCCCTTTTTCCTTTCCCGCAAAAGCAAAAAAAAAAAAGCAGGGACAGCAATTTTGCTTTGCCAGCGTTTCTATTGTCCTCGATCGGCCTCGGAGAGATGTTTGCTGTTAACTTCGACACAATTCCTTTCTTTTATCTGCTGCTAGGTTATGCTTTCCTGGATAGTTCGATTTTTCGTTTGATTTTGTTTTCCTTGTCGAGAACAAAGATCGCAGTCGCTGGTAAGCGCTACGATAGCAGTAAACTTCAGAACATCGTCAGTCCTGAACGGGTACGGCGTACACGCAAGAACATTCACCGTGGTTCGAGGCATAAAACATTTAAACAAAGTGTGTTCCAGTCGGAGATACCTAGATGTCTCGCTTGATTACCGCTTGAAGTTTAAACTATGCAGCAGGTATTGATATCGTTAACTTAACTTTTGTTACATTTTATGTATCTG